AATCTTTCCTTAGGACCACAATGTTTAAATTAAGGTACCGAATGTTCTTAACTGCCGTACAATAATTTATAGCTTATATAAAATCGAAAGCAATAATATGTACATTCTTAAAAACATCCTACTTTAATTTTCACTAACATATGTACAAAATTTCATTCGGTGTAAAATAAATATTTCATTGTATGCGAAAGCGTATGATTTTAATTAAAAGATTTGTAACAAATGTAATTTTGTTTGAAAAAAATATAACGTCTTAATTATTTTGTCTTATAATTGCGTGCATTCACGGTATTCACTTTTTCAAGCGATCATGAAACAACTCGATGCACGTTAGAATGTAGTCATACCAATATACGAATACTATGTCACCTACAATGTTTAATATATATTTATGCAATAGTCATACAAAGAACATTTATGATTAGATTAGTTATCGTTTATTAGAACATTAAGTCTTGATCTAGTAAACTTTAATAGAAAAAGTTTTTTTCACGTATGTAGTAGATGTAGAATGCATTGTGAAATGCAGTTTCTTTAGAAATTTCAGTAAAATCTAAAAAATGACGCAATATACGTATAAATTTTAAATTGCTTCCAGTGACTCCATTTTTTGGTATAATTCACCTGATACAGACCCTGTATATCAAAATTATAGACATGTTTGAAAATCGTTGTTCAAGAGGTCTTTGTATCTTTCTCCTTTGACGTCTGAGAAACGGGCTTCAATTTAGTATTTCGCAACAAATTATATGAACCATATGTACAAAATTTACGAGATACAAAAGGTATATAAAACGCCCTGAAAAACTGATGTGATCTGAAAAATAAATTTTGAATATAAAACGATATAATTTCATTAATAAATTGTGTTCTGACAAATAAAAATTGCATTTTAATGCACTTACCTTGCAGAATCTAAAAATTTGGAAGATTTTATTACAGTAAAATTATCACTTAATCGAGCATAATTCGGTTCCAAAGCGGTCTCAATTCCAACATCTAGATCTACTATAAAATGGCACTTTTCTAAATTAAACTAAAATAGACAAAAGATGATTATTTCAATTGAATGTCTGGCGTTTACCATACACAATATTTGGATATTTACATAACGCGATGGTTCTTCTCTGTTCATATCATTAAAATTGGGTTGAATTACAGTAGTTGCATTTTCATGATCTAGATAAGGCTGTGGTAATTGTCCTCTAAATTCGGACCTCAAGAACTGAAGTTTCCAACTGAAAATAATATTATTTTTAATAAAAATATAATTAACTAATGTTAATTACACTTATTGAATCATTGCTTACTTATTCGATGGGAAAAAAAAACTACTTGAAAACCGATGCCATTCCTTGCCAATGCAAAAATTTATATTCATGTCTGTTGAAATATCTCCTTCTGATCCAAACTTGTTACTTTCAATCATTATTTCCATTGGTGCATAATAGCCCTTATATATTGCTAAGGATCTGGATACACCAAGGAAGCCACATATTAAAACAGTAAGGAGAGTAATGTGAATTGTGTATTGCAAATAATGATAAGCGATATGCAAGGGGCTGAGTTTTGTTCTTATAAAAAAGTACAATTTTTGAACGACATCCACAGCTACTGCTCCAGCCAAACAGATCATTGGATATACAGGAAATAAAAATCTTTCCTCCTGAAAGCAAAATGATTGTATAGCAAAATATATATTATTTTAATATTTAGCATAGAAACAGTACATGTAAGTCACCTTATGAGATTGAAGAAAGAAAACCAGAAACCAACAGTATAAAGGTGCCAAAGAATACCAATATGACAAACACTGTTTGTTCCTTGGACGTTCTGGTACAAACAACCATACTAAAAGCTATACAATCTTGTTAAAATATTAATAAACACCCAGCTTTCCATTTCTATAAATTTTATAAACATTACCAATCCAAACGGAGCCCAAAGTGCGCCAATGAAAATAAAATTGAAATTTAAAAATCCGTTGTAGATATAGTAACTGAGAGGTTCTGTCCCATAAATATTTGGACCATGATTAGTAAAAACATTGTACATCACAATGTTTAATGGTGCTATTACTAATTTTCCATAATACATTGAATCGATCCATACCATTGGTACCAAGATAACAACACCGGATATAATAACCCACTTTAAAAATTTGATCCATTCTTGCTTACAAATTAACATTTCTATCGCAATTGGAACTCTGTAAAGAAAAGAATTTATGTAAACTTACTTATCTTATACTCTACGTTTATAAATAATATACATATAAGTAATACCCAAGTAATGCTGCAAATGGCCACCCTAATAATGCAGATATAGCAGTGGCAAAAATAGCTAATTCATATTGACGTCCGTACCAAGCTGCTATGGCAACAGTACTTAAATACCTATATAAAAAATGTAAGTAATTCATATTTCTTTCATTCTGTTTGAATATTATCTTGTATACATACATTGAAAATGAAGATGGTAAGAATGCAGCACTTGCAATGTACATTCCAGAACTCACAATAAGGAAGACAAATGTTAGTCTTCCTATATGAAGTCCAAATTCTCTGCATACTTTCCTGGAAAAATAAGATATAATTAATGACTTTGCAAATGTTTTTGCTAGTGTATCATAAAAGGGAACCTACTTATAGAAGTACACTTCAGATAATGCGCAACCTACACATAGTAGGCATCTCACAAAATAGAAGACTAACACAGGATTTGGCTCTAACAAATAATGATAAACTTTAGCTGGTACCATATGAATTAATAGGTACACGTAAGATCTTAATGCATATTGCGGACTGTATTCCCATGTTTGTTGGCCGTTTCCATAAAGCAAGTAGTGACTCTACAATAAAGCAATAAAGTACGATGGATAAAATGAGATTTACAATTATAAAATAAATACATTTATTAAAACAAAGTAATATGATACAAGAATACACATTTATACGTTCAACATAAGAAATATATTTGTTCTTATCATTAATAAATGTATCAAAAATAATATGGTAACTCATAAGAATATAAATTACTCCTTACTGGTTCCCAATAATTATATGTTTCGTCGCAGTCAGTTATGTGACTCCATATAGCAGAACAAAATCTAACAGATAAAAGTAATTTAAACGCTGTATCTACTCCGGGATAAATGATACCAATACCAGACGATTCTTCAGGTCTGAAACATACATGTATCTTTAATTTCCTTTCATAATTTGTTTACCTTATTCTATACATGCATTAAAGTTTTACATTTATTTTTGATTGTCGTAATTGTTAAAAATTAGTATAAAATGTAAAAATATGTTAAGTATGCAAATATTGCTTCTTATTCAAAATACATATCTGTAATTCGTTACTGAATACACACGATATAAAATAAACGGATATAAACAAAACATATCGAATTTGTTTTTTATTACTAATGTGTTTAAAATATTGTCTCTACTTTGAAAATCTTCTGCCATTGATCTTTTTTAATTCTTTCTTTGAAATAAAAAGCTGACGTTGACGTTGATTCGGCGCCATGGCACAAATTGTTTGACCAAATGCAAAATTCCAAGGTTTTTTAATAGTAGGGATAGGAATACGTAGTTATAGAGGTAATTGTGGCACATAGACGGTAAGGAGCGTTTACCGTAAATTCAATTTTTAGATACAGTAATGGGACCTACTCCTGCATGTTTTTCTTACTCTCTAAGCTGGTGCACACATCCCCACTATTTTACTGCTTATCCAATCCGCAGTAGATCCGCTGTCGCAGTAGCGAGCTGTCAACCAACCAGAGCAAAGAAAATTTCTTTATCGACCCTCACTAACGAATCAAGCTGCGGCTTAGAGGTGTGCAAGAGTAGATCCCATTACTGTATATACACCGTGGGTAGATGGCGCAACGTGGAAACTAGAAGTTGTCAATCTAAGTACAGCTTTATCAATGGAGAGGAAGAACTGATTAGGCATGAGATAACCTCGATTTTAAATAATACAATATTTTTAATAACGATGATGTAAATACTTGTTTTGAAACATAATTGAGAGACATACTTGTTAGTTTTTGTGTTATATTTCAAAATGAACTTAAGTAAAACTGAGAAATTATTGGCTGCCAAGAAAAAGGTATCGCTTATTCTATCTAGTGACAGCCACGTAAATAATCGTAAATAATTGCTTGTGAATAAATATTCATAAATATTTCAAATTTCTATAATCACATATTAGTTTACAAGCATTTATAATACATTCAAGAGAATGAAAATGTATTTTGATGTATTGCTTGAAATATTTTAAGATTTCTAGGCTTCATAGTTTTAGGTTATTTCAACTGTCAAATATTTACTCAAATCACTTATTATCAGATAATTATGAATACTATTTTTGACATTTGTAGCTCAGAGAATTTCAATTGAACAAAATAATGCAGGATGGTTCTGCAAAACGAAAACATTCGGGGGATGTTTCACAGGTATATAAATTGTGAACCTATCAATAATACATGCAATATGGTTACATTAATATTTTTTATTAATTTGTAGGGTCAGCATACAGAAACAAATACACCAGATTCCAAAATTAGTACAATATTTACATTGGAAACTTCTGCAAATGGTAAATCTGTTCCTGATCAAAATTGTCAAAGACATGAAACTCCATCGGTAGATACAATAATAAATACAGAAAATACTATAAATGTTGATAATTTACATAATGTGGTAGAAGAGATTGCTAAACCTGTGCAAGATATAGCACAGGCTAAGTTGAATTCAGAGGTTGAAAATAAAGTGGAATTAAGTGATTTTCCAAAAGTACAGAAAGAACATCTTTTGGAAATGGTGTCTGCAGTTACAGATGTTTTAACAAATGATTCTGAGCACTCTGAAACAAATTTGGATTGTGATTTGGTGTGTCGTAATCAGTTTCTAAGTTCGTATTTGGAAGAACAGAAAAAGAATATTAATGATCTACACATAGAGCTTAGTAATTCTGTAAGTGAATACATATTGTTTTATTACATTCTTACTAATTTTGTTATTGGATCTTGTGATTTCAATTAAATTTTTGATCAATTAGCACAGCAGAATTAAAGAATTGGAAGCTAAGTTGGAGACAAAAGAGATGGAATTTCAAGTACAATTAGCACGCGAAGTAAATCCTTTAAAAGAACAATTACAAATTCATACACAAACAACTGGAATCCTAATAGCAGAAAAGGCAGAGCTTACCGCTGCTCTTAGTCAAGCTCAACAGAGTACTAGACAAAGCAGAGGTTCGTTTTCTTTATCAAATAATATTTGAAAGTTTATAAAAAGTCAACACTTTTTCAGAAGAGATAGAAGAATTAACAGGAAAGTTAAAAAATTCTCAAGTACATATAATTGAATTAGAAAAAGAAACAGTTGGCTTAAAAACTGCTAATGAAGAATTGAGAAAAAATTATCATCAGTTGCAAAATGAACAAGAATCTTTGGCAAACAAATTTTTGGAATTGAAAAAAGAAAAAGAAGACTTAAATTTAGAGACGTCTGAATTGAAACAGAAATTAAATTTGAAGAAAACAGAACTAATAGCTGTTCAACAAGAACTTAATGAAAAAACAGCATTACTTTCATTGAGTGAAATTAGAATACAACAGGTAATAA